TGTTCCCTTGGCTGGACAGAGGGTTAAGGAAAGGTATCCCAACATTTATAGACTGAGAGAAACAATTTGGGATGTGCAACTTTATATATAATCTTACACGTTTCATGATATGTTTACTACTCCCCTTGTACTTTCCTCCAGATATTTCAGACAAAACATTCCTATTCACTACCTATCATTGTACTTGCACTCTTGGGCTATGTCTGCATTGCGCATTCTTGTACAATAAGATATGCAAATGAGGCATAGTGATGAATATTGCGGAGCTTCATTTGCATACCGAATGAGCCACCATTTCTGTGCAAAAGGCTTTTGTGCAAGAAGGAGCAATATATACTGCTCCTTCTTGCGCAAAAGAACCCTCTTGCGCAAGAGCCATTCTACTGCTTATTTTCAGGCAGAATGGCTCTTGTGCAAAAGCCGCTTGTGCAAAAATGGCAGCTCATTATGTATCCAAATGAGGCACCGTGATATTCATCACCGTGTCTCATTTGCTTATCTTCTTGTGCAAGAATACACAATGTAGATGTAACCCTGATGTTTCAGACAAAATGTCACTATTCATCACTTTTGTCAAACCATTTTATCATGCACTTGGTTGGGCCGTCCTTGTACTGTCCTGTTTGAATGAATTTACATGTATTTTAGCAGCGCTAGCAATACTAGTGCCAAGTTTGTGTCCTGGACACTGACTTGCAGGCAAACATCTGCTTTTGACAGGGCCTTCCTGTTACTCAGGCCCTTACTTTTGTTCCAGCCTCAGGCCTTATAATACAAGGTTCATGCTTTAGCCTCTTTCACCTACATCTGTGGCTAAGACCTCCACGTATAAGGTGAAAAAAAGCCAATAAGCTGACCTAGAGGCTGCGAGAACTGCCTTGGCTGGCACCTATATTGATACGATCACACGGCCATCCCTGAAAGGGGAATCTCCCCGAGAAAAGAATGTCCAGTACTCCCAATTTAATTATCTCTCTTACAAGTGTAAATTAAGTTCACAACTTGTAAGAACTGGCATCACAAAGACGAACCAGCACAATTTGGCATCTTAGATAAGAAAGAGGATACGGGCCCCTATGGGTATAAAGATGGGTCCAGCAACACACTCACTCTGAGCGTCAATCTACCATCTACCTGCTGGCTGATTGCCTCCCGAGGTCCATGAGGACTCCCAACCTCCTATTCGTCTTTCCCGGGAATTGAGGGATCGACCCTGGCCTGACACGCTGGAATCGAGGGACATAGAAGGGGGTAAAAATTGTACCTGTATGTGTCCTTTTGTTTTAGTGCATGCATAGAATAGAGCTCTTTAAAGATTAAGCTGTCACTTGGTACCATTATTTTCTATCTTTCTTTTTCCTTTGTAACCATTTTAAGATCTGTATTTGCTAGCAATTAAGAAGTAGAACAATAGCCATTGTAACCACATGCTTTAGAAACCTCTTTAATAAACCTGTAAGGCTACGTCTACACTGGCCCCTTTTCCGAAAGGGGCATGCTAATTTTCAACTTCAGAATAGGGAAATCCGTGGGGGATTTAAATATCCCCCGTGGGATTTAAATAAAGATGTCCGCCGCTTTTTTCCGGCTTGGGGAAAAGCCGGAAAAAAGCGTCTAGACTGGCCCGATCCTCCGGAATAAAGCCCTATTCCGGAGGATCTCCTACAGGAATAAGAGATCCTCCGGAATAGGGCTTTATTCCGGAGGATCGCGCCAGTCTAGACGCTTTTTTCCCGCCT